TCATCAATATGATTCCACCACVGAAGGCCTACCATCAGTCTACCTGTGACATTCTTCACTGCCCAAAAGTCACATGACAACAACAAGATAATTGTCACCATACAGGCAATAAAGCTGCTGCTGAGCAATTCACAGAGAAGATAGACTATAATGGCACTGACTCGGAAGAACAAATGGAAAAATGATGCCACTGGATGTCGGATTTTGGATTTTCTTGGTCTATTAGTTGTCTCTTCTTCTGCATCAAACAATGAAACATCTTCAGTGTCATCATTGCTGTCCTGAGACAACATGGCGACCGTGCACCAACCCCACTTCCCTTAACAATATCTTGATGTATGCTGGGTGCCTAAAAAGTACTAATTTAAAAAAAAAAAAAAAAAAAAAGCAAGAAGTGCTGAATCAGAGGAATGGACCACTTATTAGCTGTGAAAACCTTGGGCAAGTTACTTCCCTTCTCTGAGCCTCAGTTTCTCATGTGAGGATATGTTTGTGGTGGTGCATGATGATGCTTTATCAAAAAAAAAATCTATATATAAACACACACACAAACACATTCATGAGAGCTATGTCAGGCATACATTCAAACATACAATATGGCATATACCTAGTATCATGGACACAGCATCTAGGATGGACACCTCTACTACGACTTGCACTTCACAGGAGAGGGAACAGGCGGACAGGTTAACTTGTTGAAAGTCTCCATAAGAAGCAGCCAGAGAGCTTGGCTCCACGGCGAATACTTGTAATCACATCTGATTCTTAAAATGAATGAATGAATGGATAACAATGCACAATTCAAACGGCCCAAACACGGAGCCTGAAGCATGGGAGGTTAAATAAGGTGCTCAACCTTGAGCAATCAACAGTGGCACAGCTAGATGTGAACCAGGTCGAAGGCTCCGMGACAAATGCTCGTAGGTGAGAGACGATGAGAAATCTCAATTAATGAAGAGAGGGCCAAGCACGGTGGCCCACGCCTGTAATCCCAGCGCTCGGGAGGCTGAGGCAGGAGGATCACGAGTTCAAAGCCAGCCTCAGCAAGGAGGGGGCGCTAAGCAACTCAGTGAGACACTGTCTCTAAATAAAATACCAAAAAGGCTGAGATGTGGCTCGGTGRTCGAGYGCCCCCGAGTTCAATCCTGGTACCAAACAACGACAMCAAGAACTAACGACGACAGGAACGAAAAGAGAACACGGCCAAAGGCCGAGGCCAGCAGTGAAAAGGAAGAAACGAAGGCAAACGGGACGGGAAGCTGGGCTCCTCCCGCCGCCTTCGCCCGGGGCCCGGAACCTCGGGGTCTCCGCAGGCCGCGAGCCCAGCTGCCTCACCTGCACGGCGACAGCGGAGCAGCGCCCGGGCCTCCTGCACGGTCCGCCGCCGGCTGAGCCGCGTCTCCAGCACCGGGTGCCGGTAGCCCTTGGGGAAGCGGTGCTTCACCACGGCCGCGCGGCCCAGGAAGTGGCCGCGGTACAGACGCGCCTCGGCGCCCTGCTTCAGCAGCTCCAAACCGCTCAAGAAACGGCTGCTCCGCTCCCGGGCGGCGGCCAGCGGCTCTACCTCTGGCGGCGGTTCTTCGCTAGCCTCAGCCATGATGCTCTTCTGCGCAGACGCGCCAAGCGCTTCCGCTTTCTCCGGAAACTACGGGCAGTGCTTCCGCTCGCTCCGGAAATCCTGGGACCTCTTCCTCCATTCAACATCTCCCCTCSGACACTGCCGCCCGGTGGGAGTGGTTCCGCCTCCCGAGGTGTCGGCCCTTTTGAAAGCCTTCAGTGTCTCGGGTTGGGCGCCTGTGGCCGCCCCTGCTCTTCTCTCCGCGGTTCTTTCCCCCTCCTCGGTTCTCTCCGGGAGTTGTCGGTGAGGGTCGCGGTCGCCTTTGTTTTAGCGCCTCCGGAGGCGGACGGGGGCYCTGCTCCTCTCGGGAGTCGGTCTGGGACCCCGAGCGCTTCGCCCCCCGCTGGCCATTTTTTTTTTTGACCCCCAACACACTGGTCAGAGCCCGGAGGGGCGGACATGAACCATTTTGAGCCGTTTTTCCTTCTAAGTGCTGGGATGATCGCCATCTAAGTGACAGGATAAATTATTATTATTATTACTATTATTATTATTACTATTATTATGATTATGATTGTTTGTTCTGGAGGCTGAGCCCAGGGGCGCCTTGCCTCCGAGCCACATCCCCAGCCCTTTTTATTTCTTATTATTTTTTATTATTTTGAGACAGGGTCTTGCTAAGTTACTTAGGGCCCCGCTAAATTGCAGAGGCTGGCCTTGACCTTGTGGTCCTCCTGCCGCGTTGGAGGAAGAGGAGATTATTCAACCTCTCTGTGCATTCCTTTGCTCATCTGTAAAATAAGCTAATATTGATCTTGTAGGGTTTTTGTGAAGACTTAATGAGTGGCCAGAGGTAAAATGCCCCAGAACTGTGCCAAGCACGTGATACTAGAAATGGAAGCTGTTATTGTTTATGGAATGCCAAATACCATAGCTCCTATGTTTACATTCCCAGCGTCCAKCCACTCTTTCCTACGGGACCAGCCCTTCCCCATTGTGTGGAATCCTGAGGGGACACAGAGACCACCTCCCTCTGACAAAGCCCCCAGACACACACCTGTTATGTGATTTGCAACAAGAACCCCCACTTATACCACACTGAATGGCTGTGTGTTTTGGTTACTGTGTTTAAGGGGACAGAATAAGCTGCTGTAAAATAGTGACTTAAACATGTGAGATGTTTATTTCTCTGTCATACAATAGTCCAGGTCTGTTGCTTCCTTCTCTGAGTCTATGCCACCTGTTACCCCCTCCATTCAGCAAGAAGAGGTATGAGAGTGGGAGGTAGAAAGCAAATAGGTGAGGGGTTGAGCCAAAATGCCAAACAGCACTTCCACTCACATCCTATTGGCCAGAAGCGGGTCACGTGTCCAATGAGGCTGGAAAGGAGGCAGGGACCATACTCTATCWGGCAGCCRTGGGTCAGCTAGAGCCCTGGGGGATTAGTACCAAAAGGCAATAAGGGAGGAATGATTGGGACACAATCAGTAGACTCTGCCGTAGTTTTGATATTTTAAGCTGCAGCTAACAAATAACTCACTACCATCAACAGTAAGCTTACTTCTGATCTCACAACAGCTCGAGATGGGGTCCCAGGTGTCATTCAGTCGCTTTATGAAACTAAGGACCCAGAATCTTGCCATCTTTCTGTCCCACCAGCCCTAACCTATGGTTTCTGTCCTTACCTTTGTCACCTTATGGTCACTAGGGGGCCACTAAATTCTATAAATCACATGAAAAYGTAAAAACCACACTGAAGAGAGCACTGCTTCCCGCACACGCCTCTGTATTGGAAGGAAGCTTGTCGCTGGGAGCCCTCCTGTCCCCTGTCAGACTCCTGCAGTGGGCCCTCGGGACCGCCTCAGCAGCAGAGGCGGCTGGACAAGTGAGAAGCTGTCACTTTAAGTCTCTGTAGACAGGACGTGCTCTATAAGCAAGGAAGGGAGCTGGCATGGCCACCAGAGGCATCTGTAAGCGTCCCCCACTCTGTGGCACAGCCACCAACAGCCTTTCTCTGATTCCAGTTTCTGCATCTTCCCACCAGGGACTGTTGGTTCTGCTGTGACAAGTGCTTTATTRGAATTAAATAAGTCGTTGATCCCAAGCTGGGCTGGTGGGCAGCAGACACTCTCCAAGTGTGCACTTTCCTCCCTGCCCTTCCCAGCAGCCAAGGGAGCCCTGTTTGGGAATCCTGAGGAAAAGCCCTGTGGTCCGGGTTGCTATGACGCCAGCATCCTTGCTGTCATTCACACACACCACAGGTTCCTTTCAAACGTTAGACCATTTATGTGGGCACAGTGTGTCCAGCACATTCCATCAGCCCAGACTAATCAAACCTGTCCTAGAATCAGCTCTATTTATAGCATCTGGTTTCTCAAGTTTGTGGTTTCATGATCATAATTGTTAGTGTCCACATAGCCATCTCTATGGATACCAAGTCTATCTGAAGTCCTTTTCAGAAATCTGTGCAAACATATTCATAAAAGCCAGGTTAGTTATGGCCAGATGGGGTCTGACTTCTTTAAAATCAGTTAAACCTCCTTCAGTGGTGTAATCCTGATTCAGCTCATGAGGCCCTGTGTGGAAGTCTCCTCCAGACCCTTCTCCCACAAAGCCCCCCCTGCTGTCTGCTCTAGGACCCCTGGGCTGCCCTCCAGCTGGAGCCATGCTCCCTCTCACCCCTGCCCTCTCTCTCCTGAAGGTGCTCTCCCTGCCCCTTGTTGCCTAGACCCACGGAGACATGGTTCCATTCTTAGCTCGGAGGCACCCAGGGAGCCCTCCCTGATCACCCAAGGAGAGCAGATCCAAGGGCGCTGGGTACTCCCACCACTTTCCCGCAGTCACGGGAGGGTTCTTTACAAGGAGTGTGTTAGGGTCTAGATCTGGAATGTCCCCAAAGCTTGTTCAGGGAGGCTTTGTCCCCAGTGCAGCAATGTCCTGGGGGTGGGGCTTGGGGCAGGGATTGTGTCACAGAGGCTCTTGCCTCGTCCATGGATCAGGCCACAGGGGGACTTACAGCTGAATGGGCAACTGAGAGCTGGCGGAAACAAGGCAGCAGGTCCCTGGGGGTGTGCCCTTGGGGACTACRTCCTACCCTGGCCCCTGTTCCAGCTGCCATTGCTAAGTGGCTTTGCTCTTCCACACCCTCCGYGCCACGATGCTCTGCCTCACCACAGTCCATGGTGGTGGACCAAGTGACTGTGACCAAGTGACTGTGAGCCTAAAGAAATCTCCCCTGGTTTAAGTCTTTTTTTTAACCGTCATTTGGCCATAGTGACAGAAAGGTAACGCAGGGTATTACTACCTCTGTGCCCTGGCCTGCACGGGTCAGCAGAGCAGGGGCCGGGAGAGCCTCCGAGGCCAGCACTGCGGTCAGCCCACGCCAGGGCAAGAGGGGCCAGCCCGGCACTGGTGCTTCTGTTCCCAGGGACGCATTGTGCATTATTCATGACTGTGTTGGTGGCAAGTGACAAAAACAAGTTTAAACACAAACTGGAATTTATTTTAGGCACAGCAAGACCCAGGGGCTCACCTCATGTCTTTGGAGTTTGGGTCCGAACACCCCCAACGCCACTCTCCTCATGGTGAACCGGCCTCTGCGGCTCCGGGGCCTCAGCAYGTGGGACAGACCCTTTTTACTAGTTTCCTGTGGTTGCTGTAACAAGTCCCCACCTACCCAGGGGCTTAAGGCAATAGTCCTGAGGTGAGAACGGGCTTGGGGGGCACAAGGGAAAGCAGGGATCAAGCTGGAGCTCAGGAGCCCAGGTGCGATGAGCAGAGCCGAGGGAGAGGCCTCTCCAGTCTAGGCCTTGGGAGGGATCAGGAGGGAGGATGGATTTCATCCCAGTTAACATCGAAATAGCAGGAGCTCTAGCAGGCTTCCGGGAGCAAGGGCAGGGTCAGGAGCCGGCAAGAGGAGAGCTCGGCTTGGCTCAGGTGGAGTGGACTCAGGACATCTGCCAGAGCAGAGAGACTCCCCGAGGGCTGCGGCACTGGAGGGCAGCAGCTGGGGGCTGGTAAGGGAGACCCAGAGCTCTGCGTCAGCTCGGTGGCCTTGAGGCATCGCCCATTTGAGGCTGTGTGGCCCTGGGCATCCACGTGGAAACAGGTGAGCAGTTGGATGTGAGCCTGAGTCCTGGAAAGGAGGCAGGCTGGGAACAATGCCACCAATTGTCAGTCAAAACATACACACAGGCTTAGCCCTCAAGGGGGCACAGACTTCTCCAGACTCTCAGAGCATGTGGCCCAAGTCACACTAACCCCAGCCTACCGGTGGGTACAGTGCACTCTCCCACAGGGACCACGTGCCAAGGACACAAACTGGTATTTTGGCAAAGAAACAGCATGGAAAAGACCACCAGGGAGTTCTGACGGTAACAGCTGGAACACGAGGACAACATGGTCCCCAAGTTCTTTGTTCCCTCCCTTGAAATCGAGGTGGGCTTGTGGCTGCTTCGCCCAGTGGGTGGCCGAGTAGCACTGTGTGACTTCTGAGGCTAGGACACTGGACACTGGCACCCTCAGCCTCCATGCTGTGAGGAACCCAGGCTCACAGAGGCCACCTAGATGGCCCCAGGGGGTGGTCCTGAGATTGGAATTTAGAGATTCAAAGAGAAATGTCTCTAAACTCCTGGAATACAGAACAGACAGCTAGGAGCCACCCGCGTGCTGGGGCAAGTCCTCGCCTGAGGCTTGCAGGTTGCCAAAAAACAGCAAAACTGCAAGGTGACTGCAAGCCACCTGCAGGAGCCCTGCTTCAGGGAGCGTGTACATTGAGGCTTTGGTACTGAGAGACGGCCCAGCCTCCTTATAATAGTAGGAGATTTAATGAGACACAGGAGAGACGCCGAGGTAGGAAGGAACAAGATTAGAACATATGGGGGCCGGGGACAAGCCAGGGACGGGGACCAGCCCTGAACCGCCATGGCTCAGCCCCTCCTTCAATGTCCCCCAGTCCCACCACAAGACTGGGTACGTCTGCACAGATGATGGTGGGGGCTGATCTGCCCCTATTAAGGCTTCTCTCTCCCGGGACCTGGGAGCAGTTAATTGTCAGGAGCTGAGCTATCAGCCGGGATCATAGTGACTTTTATTTCATGTGATCTTGGCAGACTTTGCTTAAAAACTCAGTTCTGACTGGTGTTCTGAGTTGTAAACCTCTTACTATAAAAAGCCCATTCATTCACCTGRGCTCTCCTGTGGAAAAAGAGTCTCTATGATCCACATTCCCTTTACAAAGCCACTTTTTTGAACTGTCGTTATGAGACAACTTCAGAACCCAAGTTGATTTCCCCAGGGGAGTGACATGGTTAGAATTCAGGGCTGCCAGGTGAATAAAGGGGGCCTAGTTAAATGTGAATTTCAGAGCAGCAACACYGGACCCCACTTTTGCTATAGAATTGGTTGATGTTTCTCTGAGATTGGCATTTGGCTGGGCATGCTATTTGTTGTCGTCTGTGCTAACTCTGGTGGCCTTCCTGGAATGACATCAGGCAGCTCTGGGAAGATGGATCAGAAGAGACAGATGGAAGCAGAGACCCAGGAGGAAGGTCCAGGCTGGGATTCTGTGGCAGGGGGTGGGGCTGCTCTGGATTTTAGCAGGGGGAGTGGAGGAGGGCATGCTGTAGGGGTGGCTGGGCTAGAGGAAGAGGGTAGAACCAGCACTTGAGGAGCTGCTTTGTACCTGGGTTATACTTGGAGATCTTGATTACTGGTGTTTCTCTCTCTCTCTCTCTCTCTCTCTCTCTCTCTCTCTCTCTCTCTCTCTCTMTATATATATATATATATATATATATATATATATATATATATATATATTATATATCTATAATATTTAGTTGTAGGTGGACACAGTACCTTTATTTTATTTTTATGTGGTGCTGAGGATCGAACCCAGTGCCTCATGCGTGCCAGGTGAGCGCTCTGCCACTGAGCCCCAGCCCCTCTATCTTCTTTTTTCTTTTCTTATAACCATCTATATCTCCCTCCCAGCCTTCCTTCCTAAAATCCCCTCTCTGCCTTATCTTAATTGATTGCTCTTATCATCATCTGATTCACTGCCTGCTTTTTAAATCATAATTAATTAATTTTGGTACTGGGATTGAGCCCAGGAGCATTCTACCACTGAGCTACATTCCCAGCCCTTTTTGCTTTCATTTTGTTGAGATCTGCTCTCACTAAGTTGTCCAGGCTGGCCTTGAACTCGAAATCCTCCTGCCCCAGTCCCCSCAGTCACTGGGATTACAGGTGTGGGTCACAGTGCTCAGCTCCTACCCATCCATAAAGAACACCAGATGTTAAAGTAGTACATTTTCCAAACAAGACTTAAGGAAGCAAAAACCTAGTCACATTTTGATATATTTTTAGATACATTGTGACATTTTTCTTTTAAAAAGTCTTTATTAAAATATAATTACCTACAATAAACTGTACATATTTGAAGGATTTGACAAATTCTCACCTACATATACRCTTGTGAAGCCATTATCACATCAAGATAAAGCACTTAACCATTATCTAACACACTATATATCTTTCTTGTTTATTGTGTTTTTCTTGCTAAAATGAGCCTCTGTGCGTGGAAGGTTTTTAAAACCCCCTTTATTCTCTCCCGTAGCCTCAGCACTCTGGTTCAGGACTGACATCTGGAATGATGCCTAGACCGCAGTGTCGCTTTGTGATAATCGTTGGAGGATTTGAGTCCTCCTCTTGTCCACCCAGGCAGTCAGCTTGCCAGACTTCCTGGGTTTTTGCCCCCAACATGTACTCTTACCAAGAACATGCATTGGGGCTGTGGATCCCGAGTCTGTGGAGCTCACACAGGCGTTGAAATGCAGTGAGTGGGCATAAGGCAACGTGGGGCAGCAGGGACTGCGGCACACAGAAGAATATGGAGACCGCACMGTCAGCAAGCTACAGATGGCTGCCTGTTCTGTCCAGAAAGTTTTATGGGACCCCAGTCACGCCCATTTAGTTCCATATTGTCCACAGRTTCTTCTGCCTAGACAGTGGGGTTGGGCAGTTGTCCCAGGAGGATGGTATGGTCAGCAAAGCCTGAAATGGCTGCTATCTAGACCTCGGCAGAAAAAGTTTGCAATCACTGGTGAGCCYCACAGGACGGAGGGACACAGCCCAGCAGGGCGTGGCCAGGTAGGGATGTGGGGCCAGGGCTAACGTGGGAAAGTGAGCTTTCCTGATTTTTTTTTTTTTAATGAAGGCAAGTAATATGATATTTTCTAAAAAAAAAAAAAAAAACAAGAACATTGGCAAAATTATCTTACAGACTGGATACAACTCAGAAGTCATTTGTGTCCATATCAAACTAGGGGCACTGGACGCAGGCAACCTCAGCAAAGGTTCCTGTGTGTCCCAAGCACTTCCCAGAAGTGGCAGAGCCTGGGAACCTGAAGGGGTCATTGGAAAGAGGTGATGATGTGSCAGACAGCTTCCACTCGACTCTCTCTGTTTGTAGTAGTCAGCTCTGGTTAAAAAATAGCCACATAATAAACAACAGCCATCAGGGACACATAACAATATTTACTTATTTCCCAAGGTCTGCAGGGCCTCTGGTGTGTCTAAGGCTCCTCTGTCTGACGTGTATCTCGCCCTGGAGTGAAGATGCTCAGAGCTGTGAGCGCCAGAGACTCAACTCAAAGTGACTGAAGCAAAAAAGAAATGCATTGGATCCCGCGTGTTAAGGCGTCCAGTCTCAAATGGGCTCAGAAGTCTTGTTCTGTTTCCTCGATGCAGGGTTCCCACTCAGACAAGGTGGCTGGGAAGCCTCCACTCAAATTCTCACAGTTTTCTTTCTTAAATATAAAGTTTCTCTTTCCAGAGGGAGCTGGKCCTGGGATGCTCCAGCATCTGCGCACCAGGGCCCAGTGGGCAGCTGCTAGGGAACTGAGCGGCCAGACCCCACCCCRGGAGGGCATTGTCCCACTCTGCTCCTTCCTACATGCAAGCGTCAACTCTGCGCGCCTCTACAGAGTGCCGACTGTATGCTAGGGGCTCCTCCAGGTCTAGAGACTAGAAAAGCCAAGGAAATGGGTTCTCCCCAGAACCTCAGCAAGGAAGGCAGCCTGGCTGACCCCTCCACTTGCCCAGTGAGACCCGCGGGAGACTCCCGATCGCCAGAACTAGGAGAAAGCCACCGTGTTCCCTCCACGCGGACCACCAGGCCTCAGCTCCAACAGCCCCTCCTTCAGCTGAATCTCGGTGCCCGSGGCCATGGCCGGCTTCAACTCGGGGCAGCCTCCAGCGGAGCCGTCTCTCTCTGGCGGTTCAGTTCTTTCTCGCGGGTCCCTAGAAGGCAAGCTCCTTAAGAGCAAGCAATGGCCACGGGGTGCACCAGCCCGCCCAAGCCTCGTGGGCCGGGCACGGGGTGCTGGGTGTCCAGCCTCCGTGTGGGATGACTGGTGGCGTCCCACGTGGTGTGCGAGGGTCGGGGTCAGTGCAGGCGCCGTCAGGGGTGGACGCAGCACCCGGGATCTCCTGTTGGCGGGGAAAGCCCGGCAAGACGCTGCCGGGAGGGTCTTCCCCGGGGAGAACTCAGGACGGGGACCCAGGGAGGCCAGCGGGGCGGTCCCCAGCCTGGCCCTGGAGGCGGGGGCGGTCCCAAGCTCCCCTCCGTCCCGCCTCCAGGCTGGGGGGCCTGGGCCGGGCGACGTGGCGGTGGCGCAGGGTGGGGAGAGGGCGGGACGCGGCCCAAAGCGCCGGAAAGTTTGTGGCTCGGCGGCGCCGGGGACTTGGGTCCCGGGGTCACGCGCGCGGCCCCCAGCGTCCCCAGCTCGCCCGCCGAGTCCCGATCGCCATGGGTAAGTCGCGATCAGGCTGCAGCGGGACACTGTGCACCTCGTCGCCGCACCTACCCCCCCACGCACCCCCCTTCGGCCCTTCCCGTGGCCCCGACCCACCCGGGGTCGTCCCTCCGGTGGCCGCCCGCTGGACAGCAGGCCCGTGGCTGGGGACTGCGCAGGGGCCCTGGCCCGCTTCCTCCTGTCCTCCTTTCTGCTCGCCAGGGGGGGGGGGTGGCTGGGGGTGCTCCTGCCTTGACACCGATTGCCCCTCCGACAGCCCTGGTCACCCAGGCAAGGGATGCGGCTCCCTTCTGAAGGAGAAAGTCATTGGTCAGTTCCCCGAGCACCCCAGTGCTGGACACTGCTCCRGGGCTGGGGGTCCTGCCCTGACCGGCTCAGTGGAGAGGAGACAGGAGAGCCCACAACAGGGCTGGGGCAGGCAGGGAATTGCTTTGTCACTAAGGGGGCCTGATCCTATGGCCTCCTCTGGGTTCAGAAGGTTGGAAGGTCAGCCATGGTTGGCTTTTTAGTGAGCATGAACTGTGTGCCCAGGCATAGGGGCTGGCCATTCCCGGGGAACAAAATGGACAAAGCCCTCTCTCCTGGAGTGGACCTTTGGTTGAGGAGCTAGATAAATAAGATGCCGTGGGCAGCAGAAAATGAGGCGTCCAGAGCTGGAGGCCTTGGAGCTGAGACCTTGGAGGAGGCCTGAGATTTGGARGAAGAGCTTCCCTGTGGCAGGAACATCAAAGGCCCTGAGGCAAAAAGGGCTGGTGTGGCTCAGGCCAGTGTGGCTGGAGCGCAGTGGACAGGAAGGGAAGGGGTGAGAGGATGTCAGAGGGTGAGCAGGGCCAGTGCCCCATGGGGAAGTTGGGATTTTATTGCAGATGGCATGGGAAGCTGGAGGAGGGTTTTAAGCTGGGGCAGGGGACATGACATGAATTCTCTCTTAAAATCACACTCTAAGTTGTTCAATGGAGGCCGAGGCTCTGAGGTCGGCAGGCACGAGATAGGTATTGTATCCTATGTAGATAGAGGAGGCTCAGAGAGGGTAGGTKCGTTGCCCAGGGTCACACAGCTATGGAGAAGAGAAACTGGGGTGGAACCCCAGCAGCCCGGCTCCAGTTTGCACCCCTAACCATTGCACCACCCAGCCTCCTATGCACAGAGCAGGGGCACAGCGGGCGACCAGCCATAGCCCTGACTTCAGTGTCCACCTCTTCACATCCACGGCACACTGCCCTGGAGTCCAAGGCCCTCCCTAGGACACCTGTCCTGGCTCTGCCCCCTGGCTCCTGCCCTCCGGACCCTCCTATTAATTCAGCAACTATTTACTGAGTGCCTTCGGTGGGCAGAGCCAGGCCTGGGTGGTGGAGGCCAGGGTGTGTCCAACCTAATCACCAGCCGTCTCCACCCTCCCCGAGCTCCCAGCATGCTCTCTCCGCCGCAGGGTCCAGGGCTCTGTCTCTGCACTGGAATTAGGACTGGGTCCAGCCCCAGTGCTCCCAATTTGTCACGACCGAGGACAGTTTGTCACCTTCTCTGACCTTCACATGGTCCCTTATAAAATGCTCTTATCAAAGGGTGGCCATGAGAGCTGTGAGAAAACCAAGCGCTCAGCTCCGCACGGGGAGGTGGCTCGTGAATGAGACCGAGTCAGATTGCACAAGTTCAAATCCCTGCTCGGTCACTTACATGCTGTGTCACCTGGGCAATGAGCTCACCCGTGTGCCTCGGTGGCCTCATCGGTGGCATGGGAATGACAATGGGGCGGGGCATGGATGGCCCAAACTGAGACACACACGTGGGGACCTGGGAGGTGGCAGGTGAGCAGGAGGGCCAGCCCGGGCAGCGTGGTGATAATAGAGGACAACAGAAATGTCCCCTGGGTGTGGGGGAGGCTGGGGATGCTGGCTGGGACAAAGGGGAGGGCCCTGGGTGTCACACTGAGGACTGGGATTTGCTCCCATAGGTGGGGTAGCCATGGAGAGCTTAAGGAGGGTCGGCCTTCCCCAGTCTTCCTGATGGCCCTGACACCTTCCTAGATCCGCGGGACTTTGCCACCTGGGTCCTGCTCAGAGCTTTCTTTCCTGGGCCCGCACCCTGCTGTCTCTCCACCCGCCTCTGGTTGGCCATTCTTGCTGGGTGGTCACCACCTCAAAGCTCTGGGCTTGGGCACGAAGTGGCCCTGACCCTGTTGCTGCCCAGCCGTGAGCACACGCGGGGCCTGGGTTTCTGGTCTGTAAAATGGACCCTCGCAGCACCCCCTGGGCCCTCACGGGGCTGCACCTGACCCCGAGCTCAGGGAGGCATCTGTCGGCATCACCCTGAGTTCATTTGCTTCCTGCCATCCTCTCCCCACCTCCACCTGGTCTGCCACTGATGTCCACTGGTGTCCAGAGAGCCGCGGCGTTCAGCCYGGCCTTGGCCTGTGGCTGGGCTCCCCTTGCCCTCAGTCAGAGCTAGGAGATGGCGGTCAGTCCTCCCTGGGCCTCTTTCCTCTGTCCTGGAGGAAGCTCCCCCCGGGAGAGGGAGGCCTGGGGACCAGGGAGCTGGGGCCGGGGACGSGAGGGCTGAGCAGGGACCAGGCAGCCGGTTCTCCAGGGTCTTTCCCAACAGGAAGGGCAGGGCCACGGGGAAGGGGCAGGGGTGAGGGGAGAGGGTGGAACCCTTCCCTCTGCACAAAAGTGCCGCCCGGCTGAGAGGGCAGGGGGCGGAGCCCTCAGGTAAGGCTGGAGCGGGCTTGGGGTGCAGGCTGGCCCTTCCGACTTCTGACCTCAGGCAAGGCACTCCGCCCTGGGGTCACCAGTTAGTCACTCCTGGATAGTTCAGAGGCACCCCTCAGAGGCTGGGGGAGGGTTAAAGAAGGTCTTAAGCTTAGCACTCAGGGCAGCACCCGGTGCGGGGAACACCTTGGGTCCGCTTGGCTGCGGTGCTACCACGCTTCTTATCAGGCCCTGAGTGGGGCTGGGYGACAGACCTGCTGCTGGGTTACTCCAGGTGCTTCTAGAAAAACGTCAGCGCAAACATGTGCTTTAAAAATTAGGAGTAACCTGTACAACTGCGCTGTCAATACGGTAACCACCAGCCACATGGCTTGTTTTATAAGTGAGTTGATTAAAATAGAAAATGAATTCCTCCGTTGCGTTAGCCACCTTCCATGTACTCAGGGTCTGCATGGGGTTAGTCACCACCCTGCCCCATAGACAGACAGAGAAGCTTCTCTCATTGGAGAAACTTCTAGTAGAAGTGCTGCTCTAAGAAGAATAGAAATGGAGCTGGGTTTGGTGGCACACGCTTGTGATCCCAGCATCCCCACCACTGAGGAGGCTGAGGCAGGAGGATTGCAAGTTTGAGGTCAGTCTCAGCAACTTGGCAAGATTCTCTCTCAAAACTAAAACTCGAAAGGACTGAGGATGCGGCTCAGTGGTGAAGCGCCCCTGGGTTCAACCCCTGGTACCAAACAAAAAAACCCAAAGTGTCAGGAGCAGGTGCAAGCGAATCAGTAACTGTCCTAAGTGAGCTTAGGTTCACTCTTTTAAAGCAAAGACCCTTCTACTGAACTTGAACTTGAAAATGTTCAGCTCTCTGCTGTTTTCACAAGAGACACATAAAGGATGAGCCCAGATCAAAGGTGTTGGGAGACAGTGGTTGGAGACCGCAGGGACCCCTAAGGCAGGGCGCCCCCTGCATGTTAAATGTGGGTACCTGGGGAGCCTGTAGGGACAGGATCGGTCCAACCGCCGCTGCTGCTGGTGCCTCACCTGTTGACATGCCTTGGCCTCCCGGGTGCCTGTAGTTTTTTAGTCACACTCCCCAGAGCCTCACCTGTGTTCTTAGCCCTGTCCAAACCAACTCAAAGTTTAACGATCAACTATTCGGATTTTTTCTTTTTTGGGGGGTACCAGGGATTGAACTCAGGGGCACTGGACTACTGAGCCCCCTCCCCAGCCCCATTTTGTATTATTTAGAGGCAGGACTCACTGAGTTGCTTAGGGGATTGCTTTTGCTGAGGCTGGCTTTGAACTCTCGATCCTCCTGTCTCAGCCTCCCAAGCCGCTGGGATTACAGGCGTGCGCCACCACTCCTAGCTAACTATCCTGATTTTATTTCCTGTTTTATTACATCTGTTTTTATATTCATTAATTCCTCTTGTCCTTGGGTTCATTTYGTTCTAATTTTCCTAGCTGCTTCATTCACAGTCTGAATTCATTTATTTTCAGTTATTTTGGAGGTTCTGACAAAAAGTTCTAGTTTCCGGTAATTACTTCCCACAGTTTTTGTTATGTGGCCCTTTTATTCTCATTCAATTCCAAATAGGTAGTTATTTCCACTTGATCTCCTCTTTATGCTAAGTTGTTTAGATGTGTATTTCTAATTTCCACATGTGCAATTGGGAGTGTGTGTTGCTGGTTGTTTTTCTTTTTCCTCTGGGTGAGAAATGCATCATTTTAAAAGAGCTTTTCTGCCTGCTGCCATCCCAGCAGCTCGGGAGGCTGARGCAGGAGGATCACAGCTTCAAGGCCAGCCTCAGCAACTTAGTGAGACCCTGTCTCTAAATAAAAAAATAAAAAACAGGCTGGGGATGTGGCTCAGTGGTGAAGTGCCTCTGGGTTCAATCATCCCTGTTACAGATCAAAAAAAGCTTGTCTGCCAAGCCAGGAACCGCTGCCCGCCTTGCTTTTGGCTGCCTCCCCTTGCTCCACAGGGCGAGGGGGGATGAGCTCCWGTCCCCACAGGTGGCTTTCAAAGTGGGGCAGGGGCGTCTGGAGATGGGCGGAAGGAGCCGGTGGCACACGAGCCTGGTGGTCCTCCTGTGCGGCTGCCTGGGCACCGGGGCTTTTCTCTCCCCAACTCTCCTAAGAGCTGGTGAGAAAGCATTTATCAACCCCGTAAGATGAGGACACGGAGGTCATGGAGGCCACCCGCTGAAGGTCGCACAGAGCAAGTATTGGTGCCCCCACTGCCCCAGGCTCCGAGGCCCGGGGTCACTCGGTGACATTCACAGAGCGTTTCCACGTCCCTGTTGGATGCGTGTTCCCATGGGCTCTGGCCGGGGGCAGCGGGGTGTCCTGTTCCATTTTACACAAGAGCAAACTGACACTGAGCCCAGGGGGCACCTGGCTCCAGGTGCTGGGGAGGCCAGAGTGCCCAGAGGGGCTTCGGCCGCCCTTAACAGCGCACAGATGCCAGGATCCCCCAGGCCGCCAGGGGCAGTGACGGAAGATGAGCCCGCCACAGGACAGAGCCCGCCACAGGACAGACCCGTGCCCCKCGGCAGCCGGTTCAGCTCCGTGCCTGTCCAGCCCCACGGGGGAGAGGAAGCACCTATTTCCTGGGGCTTCAGGGCATTTGCAGGATTTTTCTTCTTTTTGAGATTCTTGTCTTTTTCGTTTTTTAACCAATGGTCCATTCAGACATACATTCATCGAGGACTAAACGCTTCACAATTCAAAATAAAGAATTAGAGTCACCCGCGGTTGAGGGGTCCCTCAGGAGGGGCCGGCTGCCTGGCGCCCCCCTGATTTCCCTGGTTTGTGTGGTTTGGTTTCGAGGTCCCAGGGATGGAACCCAGGTGCTCTACCACTGAGCCACATCCCAGCCCTTTTTTAAATTTAAAGCAGTCTCACCAAGTTCCCAGGCTGGCCTTGACTTGCTTCTCCTGCCCCTGCCTCCCTGGTAGCTGGGATCGCAGACCTGCAGCACCACCTCCAGGCCCGCCGCTTCCTACATTCACTTACCACGCCCTGAAAATCCTCTGCTTGAGCTGAGGGCCATGGCCCAAACCTGTCCTCCCAGCTCCACAGGAGGCTAGGGCAGGAGGATGACAAGGTCGAGGCCGGCCTGGGCAACTTAGTAAGACTCTTGGAAAAAAAAAATCTCTATTTTATTTTAAAGGAGGAGAATGTTTGAATTGTTAATCTACCAATTTTTAAAAGATGGACATTGAAGCAGATCTTTTATCAATGCATCCATGAACTCTCCGGAATTTCTTCCTAACATTTACTGCAGTGTCCTTTCCTCGTTTCTATGTATATTAAAACGACTTGGGAGGCCTACAGGTTCCTCAATTTAAAAAAAAATGGAAAAGAAGAGGTGAATGGACCTTAGTGGCTACACCCCCTCAGGTAGCATCTGCACAGGACAGCAAGAGTAAAATTAAAAACAGATCACCTCACTCCCAGCACAAGCCACCAGAGACTACCATCCGCCGAGAATGAAACCCGTTCTGTCCTGGTGACCCACAAGGCCCCACGTGCTCTGGCCCTGCCTGCTTCTCCCCTCATCCTGTCCTATCTCCTGCTCGCTGGCCTCGGGCCGCTCTGGCCTCCTTGCTGATGAGCCCAGTGATCAAAGCCTTCATCTTCTAGCTATCCCAGCCCTGCCTCTTACTTGCTGTGTGACTGTAGGAAAGCTGCTTAGCCTCTCTGCACCCTGGAGGAGGATGCTAATGGTACACTGTGAGACTGATGTGTACACAGCTCTTGAAACAGGGGCTGGCATTTAGCCAATGTCATAGGTACGTTCCAGCTGTGAATATTCATAATCGCTCAAACACACCTCGAGCCCTTCTGACCCGTGTCCCCTCGGTCTGGTCTGCTGTTTGCCACACTTTCCTCGTGGCCTTCACCCCCACTTTATTTGGATCTCTGCTCAGATGTCCCCTCCCCAGAGGGGCCTGAGCTGACCCTATTGGAATTGATACTCCTCTCTCACTCCCAAGCCTATGTCCCTGCTTTGTCCGTGACATTGATCCACCCTGAGGTCACATTATGAACTGATTTCTCTTCTGCCTGTTTCTACTAACACCTCGGTCCTTGGGGACTCCGCTGATTGCCAGCCTCAAGGACAGGGCCTGGCATGTGGCAGATGCCAGATAAATGAATGAGGATGGATGGACGGGCAGCCGGGTTGGGGATGGGTATATGAGGAGAGGGAATAGGGGAGGGGCGGATGATGGGTGGGTCAGTCGGCAGGTGCGTGGGCGAGTGGGGGGTAATACGGGATGAGTGGACAGATGGCGGGCGGGGTGTGGATGGAGGGCTGGCGGCCCGAGGGCAGGTTGGACTCAGGTGCTTTGGCAAGACACCTCTGAACCCCCTTTCACTCTTGTCTTCCAGGCTGGGCCCCGCCTGCGCTGCCCCTGTGTGCCTCTGTGTCCTTGCTGGGTGGCCTGACCTTTGGCTATGAGCTGGCCGTCATATCGGGTGCGCTGCTGCCCCTGCAGCTTGACTTTGGGCTGAGCTGCTCGGAGCAGGAGCTCCTGGTGGGCAGCCTGCTGCTGGGCGCCCTGCTGGCCTCCCTGGTGGGGGGCCTCCCCATTGACCGCTGCGGCAGGAGACGAGCCATCCTGGGGAGCAACCTGGTGCTGCTGGCCGGCAGCCTGAGCCTGGGCCTGGCGCGCTCCCTGCCCTGGCTGGTGCTGGGCCGCTCGGCCGCCGGCTTTGCCGTCTCGCTGTCCTCCATGGCCTGCTGCATCTACGTGTCAGAGCTGGTGGGGCCGCGGCAGAGGGGAGTGCTGGTGGCCCTCTATGAGGTGGGCATCACCGTGGGCATCCTGCTGTCTTATGCCCTCAACTATGCCCTGGCCAGTGTCCCCCGGGGCTGGAGGCACATGTTTGGCTGGGCCCTGGCACCCGCTGTCCTGCAGAGCCTGGGCCTCCTCCTCCTCCCTGCTGGCGCAGACGAGACTGCCGTTCACAGGGACCTCCTGCTGCTCCAGGGAGGTGAGGCCACCAAGCTGGGCCCCGAGAGGCCACGCTACACCTTCCTGGACCTCTTCAGGGCCCGGGACAACATGCGAGGCCGGACCGCCGTGGGGCTGGGGCTGGTGCTCCTGCAGCAGCTCACAGGGCAGCCCAACGTGCTCTGCTACGCCTCCACCGTCTTCCACTCGGTCGGCTTCCACGGGGGGTCCTCCGCTGTGCTGGCCTCCGTGGGGCTCGGCGCGGTGAAGGTGGCGGCCACCTTGGTGGCCGTGGGGCTGGTGGACCGTGTGGGCCGCCGGGCCCTGCTGCTTGCCGGCTGTGCCCTCATGGCTCTGTCGGTCAGTGGCCTGGGCCTTGTCAGCTTTGCTGTGCCCGTGGACTCTGGTCCGAGCTGCCTGGCCTTGCCCAATGCCACCCGGCAAGCTGGCCTCCCTGGCTCGGACCTGCTGCAGGACTCAGCTCCACCTACAGAGCCGAGAGCCGGCAGGGACCCACAGGAGCCCGCCTTGTCCGCCTCTAAGAAAGCCAAGACCCGTCCAGCAGGCAGAGATGTCCCCACCCCTGCTCTGCCTGCCCTGAGCACCCCCGCGACCCCTAATCCCCCCTCACAGCCGGCGGTGCTGCGCTGGGCCGCCCTGGTCTGCATGATGGCCTTTGTGAGCGCCTTCTCCTTCGGATTTGGCCCAGGTAAGGGGAGGGTCCGTGCAGGTCAACCTGGAGCTGCCCAGCAGGCAGTGGGAGGCCCTGTCAGTCTCAGGGGCTCTGGAGGTGGGTGGCCCACAGGGTCAGGGCCCCTCCCTGGCTGCAGTTGTGCCTCCCAGGGCCTGGGCCTAACTTTTGGTTAATATATATATGTATTTAAGGTTTTCCAATTAAAGTTCAGGGCTTGTGAAACCTGGCTCTGCCCCTGGATGGCCCAGGCAGCAGGGTTTACTTGGCAGGAACTTAGTGAATGGGATGGGAACCCAGCATCCCGGTTCCCCCAGGACCTCGCCATCTCAGCACTGAAGGTCTGTGTCCAGGAGACCCCTCGTCCTGGGCAAACAGGCATCGCGGCCACCCTGACGCGATTCTTGCAGTGGTGTGGGGTGCAGTGGTGTGGGGTGCAGTGGTGTGGGGTGCAGATGTGTGGGGTGCAGTGGTGTGGGGTGCAGTGGTGTGGGGTGCAGTGGTGTGGGGTGCAGTGGTGTGGGGTGCAGATGTGTGGGGTCCTTGGTATCAGGAGCCTGACGTCCGTCCATGGGGGCTGCCTACTTGGCTGCTGGTGCCAGCCCCGGCCTCCGCCCAGAAGCCCTGCTGCTCTCCTGTCCTAGTGACCTGGCTGGTCCTCAGCGAGATCTACCCTGTGGAGGTCCGAGGGAGAGCCTTTGCCTTCTGCAACAGCTTCAACTGGGCCACCAACCTCCTCGTCAGCCTCTCCTTCCTGGATCTCATTGGTGAGTCCTCTGGCCTAATCCCTCCGCCCAGTGCCTTCTAGATGCAGGGACGGTGTCCGCCAGACTGGGTCAAAGCGCCCATATCTGTTGGTTGTAAGTGACAGAAAACCACCCAGTGCGGCCCAGTTTATAAGCAAGAGGGAGACATTTGTCTTAAGTTGCTGAAAAGAGCTGGTCCCCAGGTGCCGACGGTGGTCAGCTCCTTCCCTCCCTGTGGGCTCTGCCCGTGGCCACCTGGGGCTTCGTCCGGCCAGGCCGCTGCTTGTGGTGCAGATGGCCGCCTGCAGGCCTCCCCGCTCGGCAGCCCAGGAAGGGACGCCTTTCCCAGTGGCTCCTTCAGCTCCCGGGACGACCCTCACTGGCTCAGCACGTCGCGTGCCCATCCGGGGCCAGCCGCTGTGGTGTTGGGGAGCCCGGCTCCTCACTGTGGGCCACGGGGGGTCTTAAAGCTCACTTTCCTACTCCCGAGGCCAAAGGCACAGCCAGCTCGTGGAGCCGAGGGACACCGTGGAGGCAGAAGCTACGCAGGGTGACCGTCTCCCAGCCCAATCTAGGGGACCTGGGCCCCCGCCTCTTCTCGGGCAGCTCTCTGTCTGGAGAGAGGAGACGAGGGGCGGGGAGGGGGCTTTTTAAGGCCTGAGACCTCCTATGACCATCCGTGTCACAGATGGGGACCGTGCTCCCAGGTCCACCAGGTCCTTAGAAGCTGGAGCCGCCCCCCTGACCGCTGCCCAGCGCCCCCCTCAGGAGAGCGGGTCCAGCCCTCAGGGAGGCCATTGCGGGAGGCGAGGCTGCGGCTGGCGGAGGAGGAAGTAGCACCCAAACATAATCTGTGCTCCCTCCTCGACAGAGAGCCGTCCTTCATGGCCTGCTTTCTCTGTCTGTCGCTGACCGGATCGCAGGACTCCAGGTCGTCCCTGTCCTGGTCATTGACCCTGGGACCCGCCCCCTCCCAGGCTCCAGGAGGAGAGGGGCGGGGTGCTGAGCCCCCTGCAGGCAGGCATTGGTTCTGTGGGCAGCGCCTGAGAGAGTGGTCTGTCCCCACATGCTGTCCCTCGCTGCGTGGTGGACGGCCAGCCTGCCTCAGTTAATTCTTGCTTCAGGTGTTCACCTGATGGCCTGTTGGCCACTCTGCAAAGCCACCACCCACGGCCTGTGCTCGGGGTGAGCTGACTCTAGGGGCTTCACCTGGACACAGGGAGCCCAGGCCGCAGGGCCAGGGCGCTGGGCTCCCTGCCCACTTCCACCCCCCCTCTGTTGCTAGGTGCCATTGGCCTGTCCTGGACCTTCCTGTTCTACGGACTGACGGCTGTCCTCGGCCTGGGCTTCATCTACTTAGTTGTTCCTGAGACCAAAGGCCAGTCCTTGGCCGAGATAGACCAACAGTTCCAGAAGAGTCGGTACGAGGTGGGCGGGCAGGTCTGGGGAAGGGGCTCCTCCAACTGTGGGCCCAGTGCCCAGGACAGAGGTCAGAAGAGCGGAATGTCTTTGGTGGTGCTGGACTGAACCCAGGGCCCTGTGCAGGCAAAGCCAGCACCCTACCAACTGAGCTATGTCCCCGCCCAAAGAACAGTGGAATCTGAAGACACAGACTCTTAGAGTCATGGAACCATGGAGAAACACAACAATGTACTGTGACCTTTAGAAACCGCTAGTGGGCTTCATCCGTGCCTCCAGCACACACTTTGGGGTCCTTAGGGCTGCCAGGCCGTGTTAGGGGCTGCAACTGAGCAGGTCGGGCTGGACACCTGGGGCCAGCCCTTGAGGACAGGCTGGGGCTGCCACGATCATGGGGCAGGCAGCGAGTTAGGGATGTTGGCAGGGCTCAGAAGGGGGGTCTGTGCCTCACCACCCCAGTCCAGGGCCCAGCTCAGAGGTCCCTGATATCGGAGCCACAGAGAGGAGACACCCCACCCTGGGAGCACAGGGACCAGGGCAGCCAGGAATGAAAGGGAGGCCAGGCACCGCTGCCCCTCAAGACTCCCATTCCCAGGAGAAACTGTGACTGGCCAAGCCTGACAGTGTCCACCTGCAGCCTCCGACTCTGTCAGGACAGGAGTCCTACAGGACCACCTGCAGCGAGGAGCCGTAGCTCTCCCAGGAAGGAGAGTGGACGCAGAGGAGCCACATCCACTTCTGGGGGGCTCCTTCTGTCCAGGGTCTCGGGCCTCAGACGCGCTTCTTGGAAGTGGTGACCCTCACTACGCAGGCGCAGAAGAGACCCCCTCTGCCCTGGGGCTCATTGCGAGGAGGAGCTGCATGAGGTGTCCCCGTTGCTCAGGGTCCCTTCATTTGGCTTTCAGCAAAGACTTCCAGGTGCCCCTGGGGGCCAGGCTCCCTAGTAGACCCAGAGGCAGGCCCAGGACCAGGACAAGACAAGTCTCTGTACTCAGAGGGCAGGTCACATTTTATTGGAAAGGAGAGAAAGTGGCTGTAAACCGGAGGAGCACACAGAGAGGGTCATTTCCGAGCCATGTCGGTGCCGTGAAGGGTCCAGGCAGCTCAGCCCAGCAGGGGCCGCGGAGGCGGACGCTCTGCTCCTTCAGCACGGGCGCGGGTGTCCCGGCTCTGCCCCTGGTGCAGGAGCGTCGTGAATGCTCCGTGATGTTCTGGGGTCTCCCTTGCCCTCACTGCTCTTCCCAGGGCCTGGGGCAGCCCAGGGCACTTCACGGGTGGTCAGCAAACTCGGCCTGGCTGTCAGGCGAACTCCAGGAGGGTCTCCAGCAGGGGAGGGCAGGAGAGGGCTCAGGCCACCTGGAGGGAGCTGCTGGGGGTCCAGGGGAGACAAGTGGAAATGCAGGCGGAGGCCGGGGATGGAGACCCCCAGGCTGCCACCTTTGACCCTCTCCTCTCTCTGGCAGGCTCACCCTGTGCTTGGGCCACAGACAGAGCTTGGCTGGCGTCCAGTACAGCCGCCTGGATGTCCCTGTGGCCTCCTGAGGAGTCCCCTGCCTGGACCTGCTGGGACGCTGATGTCAGAGACCGTCTCTGCTTCCTGCCTGCGGGGCCCCGGAGCACAGGCCCCAGGTGTCCTCGAGAGTCCCCCTGCCCCAGAGGGGGCCATGTCTGCTGGGGGGGAGAGGAAAGTCTGAGAACCCCAAACCGCTCGTTCTGAGTGTGGCACCTGGAGGGCCCTGAGGGTCTCCCTAGCCGCCGTCCCCCGACTCCGCCCACGTCTGCACCATTTGCCACGAGGCTGTTGGGGAGTCTGGTTGCGCTCTCGGCCTTCTCAGATGCTCTCTGGGCTGCAGATCCTGGCGGGAAGTGCTTCCTGGAATCGCCCCTGAGTCCCGTGGAGGGGACCCCATCTCTGCTCTCTTCCCATCTGCCTGGGAGCCGGGGGAGGGACGCTGGCCCTGGGCGCCATGTCTCTGGCACTGGCCCTGGATATTCGTCACTCACCACGACTCTGCCTACTCTATAGGAGGCCTGATCTCGTCCTGGTCCTGGTTTTAGGGACACTATCACGACCGCGGGCCTCAGTTCCCCACACGCGCAATGGGAGGCCTGGACCTGGATCTAAACTCTCTCCTGACCCCAGTGGCCGGGTTCTAAGAGCCCATCAGACTCGCGGCCCGGGCTCTGCCCTCAAGTAGCCGTGGCTCGGGGGACGTGGGTTCCAGTCAGCAGACGGTAGACAGGGTTCCACAGCTGTGCACCCCGAAGTCCAAGAGCCAGCCTGGGCCATTCCAGGGTGGTGCAGGGGGGCTCCAGAAGGACGGGGTGGGGCCCGCAGACCTGGACGTCAGTGGGTGTGGCCTCTGCCTGGGCAGCTGTTGACCCTGAGTAAGTCACAACTCCCTCAAGCCTCGGTTCCTCATCTGTGAAACGGGGCAGCTGTGTCCTGGGGTTGTATTTAACCCCCTCCCCCTGAGAAGGGTCTCCAGCGGGTCCCATTCACCCAACCTGCAGAACTTCTGTGCCCCAGGCCCCCCTTGGAGACGTTGTCAAGGGCCAGGTTTCAGGGGCAGGTCAGATGCGATGAGCAGGTAGCAGGGGCCAGAGGTCACTTAGGGAGGGACTGACAGACAGAGCTCCCAGATCTGGGGGCCGGGCACCAAGGAGAGCAGAGGTGCGGGTCTCCATGCTGCGGGGGTGCAGCGCCCCCCCAGTTGTCCTTCCTTCTCTGTTTCTAGACGACTCCCTCAGATCCAGTGCTGAGCCAGATGGGGTTTGTTCACTTTTAACGACATTTTGTTAAATTGACAAAGAGTTTTCCAAACTGGTCATTGGTAAAAATAAAACAAATGAGAAAATATCGTGTTATTAAAAATGTTGATTGAAATTATTTGAACTTATAAGAAAATCATATTAAAAAGCAAAGTCACTAATACTCAAAACTCATCACCTCCTAATTACTTGGTTACGTGTTACTGTTAACGTGTCTGATAGGGTTGGAGGGGAGGGAGGAGGGCAGAGGCTGAGGGAGAGGCTGAGGGAAGAGGCAGAGGGAGAGGCTGAGGGGAGAGGCTGAGGGGAGAGGCTGAGGGAGAGGCTGGGGGAGAGGCAGAGGGAGAGGCTGGGGGAGAGGCTGAGGGAAGAGGCAGAGGGAGAGGCTGGGGGAGAGGCTGAGGGGAGATTCTTCTTGGGTCTGCATGCTCCTCTCCCCTCAGGTGCTCATGCTGGCCCTGGGCGTGGATCCGCATCCCAGGTCAGGGTGGGATTCAGCGTTTTGTGGATTTTACGGAGCTGAGAGCCGCGGGGCCACCACTGCACATCCGGTGCTCTGTGCCGACGATGCTCTTCCTCGGATCTCTCCATGGCTCTCGCTGGTCCTCCATGCACATCCCGCTGAGATGCCACCTCTTCAAGGAGGCTGCCCCGGCCACCCTGGCTTCTCCTGCTGAGATGTAGGAGGGGCCTGCCTCTGGTCGCCCGTCTCTCCTGGCCCTTCCTCTTCTCTCGTCCCCATCACTAGCGGCCCTGTCCACCACCTGTCTCCTCCTCCTTCCCTCCTCCGTGCGTCCCTCTGTCTGTCCTTACTTCCTTTTATCCTCTCCCTCCTTTCTGCTTGATAATGTCACCAGAACGTCAGCTCCCTGAACAAAGGGACCTCATCTTGTCATTGCTTTGTCCCCAGGGTCTAGAAGTGCCTGGGTGTGACATGCATCTGAGGGGAAAATAAATCAGGATCATTGGCTTTAAAATACACTAAGTGGAACGTGAGTCTAAGAACAAACAAACAAAAAGCAGCCCGTGTGCCGTGTGTCACCTGTGTCGCACGATCTGGCAGATAACCGGAAGGTTCTAGGCGATGCGCCCACATTACAGAAGTGCTGTGTCGGACCAGGGCCTAGCAGTGGTCCTGGGGCTGCCGGGAGGAGGAGGGCTTCCCAGCACAGCCCTGCAGCGGGGGACACCACCCCTCCCTCCTGGTGGGTCTGGTCCCCAGGAGGCTGAGCCTGGCTGAGGGAGGAAGGTGGAGGAGACGGTGGGGTGCAGTGACGGAGAGGGACAGCCAGCAGGGTCTGACCTGCTCCCTCGGGATCTGGCTGTTCACTGCTGTGAGGAAAATACCCGCCAGGAACATTTCAGAGCAGAAGACGTTCATTTGGGGCTCACAATTTCAGAGGCTCCGTCCACCGTGGGTGACTCCATGGCTCTGGGCCCAAGTGAGGCTGGGCGTCGTGGTGGAAGCAGCTCTGCCCCCCTCAGCTGGCCAGGGGCAGGGAGCCAGAGGGGCCCAGGGGTCCCGGTGACCCATCCCCTCCCGCCATCCACCGCCATCCAGGTAGCCCACCCAACTAGGATGGACGGACCAGGCCACCGCGCCCCTAACCGGACGTCCCTGCACTCACAGGGRACCTTCCTGGGACACCTCAGGTCCAAATCAGAACCCAGAAAGCAGCCATCACCCACGGACACAGGAGGACACGGTTAGAACGAGAGCAACCGTCTCCTAGCTCTCTCTGAGCTCGGCCCTCAGACCTGAGCCTGTGGCCTGTGTATCCAAAAGGGAGCCAGGAAGGGGTTCAAACACGGTCCCCCCAGGGCTTTTCCTTTGAACCCAAGGACACGACGGGGGTGGACATGGTCACCCGGTGTTTGTGATCCTCCAGCCATTCCCGGCACTGTCTGGGTCCCCTGCCGCTCCCAGGTCGGCACGGCCTGGAGGTGAGATGCCAGGGAGGTCATAGCACCAAGAGAGACAGAGGTGGCCTGGAGCGTTGAGCCCCGCAGAGAGGGACATTGACCAGGGAGCCCGGCAGCCAGTGTCCTGGGAGGAAGACGTGGATGGTGGCATCGGGAAGGGTGGCTTCCTCCAGGAGAGGAAACRGTGGTGTAGACCCGGCTGCCACTTTTCTGTCCCTTCTGAAGGGCAGGGGATGGGGGGACCCAAGAGGGGACAGGAGGTGCAGCCAAAGCCTTGGCACCTGAGGTCAGCGGCCCTGGGTGGGGCGTAGGTACGTCCCTGCGGAGCCCGAGAAGGAGCAGGGCCGAGGCAGTGGGTGACTCACGCTCTCCCCTCCTGGCCCTCCCAGGCGGGCCGGACTTGGGAGCTGGGCTCCCTCCTCCTCCACCCTCCGCAACCGCTGCAAACAGGGCGCTCTCAAGGTTCATCACAAACACGCACTTCCTGGTCAGCAGGCCCTGAGGTCTCCGTGGCTGCTCCAGAGCTACCCACGGCCGCACGCCCCCACCTCCCTGAGACCCTGACCTCTAAACACCAAGGCCTGCCCACACCCCTTTGCCTGGACCCCTTCCTGCCTTGGCCTTCCTTTCTGTCCAGTCTGGGCTCCACACCCCACCTTGCCGTCCCTCCCTCTAAGCACCCTCCTGTCCCCTCGCAGCAGCAGTCCTGGGCTAATTGACACACCTGTCTCTGTTGGTACGTGGGCTGTGAATGGTGCAGAGAAAAGTCATTGGATCCACGGGCTCAAGCCTCGGACTCGCCCACAGCCCTCCCATGGCCCGTGGCCCTGCCCCCCGACTCAGCAATTTCACATCTTTTTGGGGGTGGGGGGTACCAGGGATTGAACCTGGGCACTCGACCACTGCTGAGCCACATCCCCGGCCCTATTTTGTGTTTTATTTAGAGACAGGGGCTCACTGGGTTGCTTAGGGCCTCGCTAAGTTGCTGAGGCTGGTTTTGAACTCATGATCCTCCTGCCTCAGCCTCCCGAGAGGATGGGACCAATTTCACATCTTGTTAGAAATCTCCCCTGCCRCTTTTATCTCCCTCACTCTCTACCGTTGACCGTGCCTCTTACCTCACTGGGTGAACAGAGGTTCTAAGGATAGGGACAGAGGCTGCCCCTAGGATGTCTGTTCTCTCTTTTAGGCATGGCAGTAGAATCCCCCATGTTTACCTGGGAACATGGCTGCCCAGGTGAAGTACTACATTTCCCAGGCTCCTTTGCAGCCAGGCATGGCCATGTGACCAAGTCCCGGCCAATGTGAGTGCCTGCAAGTTAATRTCTTGGACGTCTAGTGGAGCCCTGTGGCCGACGAGACTAGTGGTCCCCCCAAATCAACTTTCCCTTTTTCCACTTAGTAATAGGAATCCCGTGATGTGGCTGGGTACGGGGCCATCCGGCCAAAGATGACATTTCCCAGCTTCCCTTGCAGTAGAGGGGCCACGTGACTAGGTTCTAGCCGATGGGAGGTGGGCAGGAACACTCTGTTCCTCTCTGGGGTCACTCTGTAAAAGGAAGCGGGTGCTCTCCATGCCTGCAGGCCAGGAGGGTCGAGGCGGTCAGCTTCTGCCACCAGAAAAGGGGACCCAGAAGCCACAGAGGGAAGGTGTCTGGGTCCAGGGTAACTCTGTGGGTCACTTTATCTGATTGGCCCTGTTCAYACACACTGCTACACTGTGGCCTGAGTGACCTTCTACCTTCTTCCAGCCGCTGTGCTTTAGGTCCCTTCTGTCATAGCAAAGTGACCTGTGACTTAGCCTAATGCCCTGAGAAGGGATGGACATGCCCCCTCACACCCTCCATTCTGGTGGATGGAAATGGGGGTGAGTCAGGGGGCAGGTGAGCCACAGAGACAAGGACAACTTCCCGGGGACGGTGGAACACCAGCTCAGGCTGTTCGCAGAACCGCCGTCCTGGCCCGGAGTGTCGGAGAGAAGCACCTTCTATCCTGCCGAAGCCACTACTGCTTCACATCTGTCACTTGAACCTGAACTTMGTCTGGCCAACACCCAAATTACAGCCTCCACCCAAATTACAGCCTGACCCTGGTCTCTACCCGCCCTCCCTCCTCGGGCCCACCATCTCCACTTGGATGGTGGGGCTCCCGCTGCAGCCATGAAGAGGGACTGAGCCTGCTCTCTCGAGGCTGGCTGAGTGCTGGGGAGAGAGTCCTTGCTTCCTCTGAACTGGACCATGGACCACGAGAGTGGATAGCTGCAGAGCAAGGCCGGGGCCTGTGTTCTGTCTTYGGCACACACCTGCTTGCTCTCCACGTTTCCACCCTGGGACGATACAACAGGAGACCCTCCAGAGACGAGGCTGCCTCCTCTGGGACTTCCCTCTCCACATCTAGAAGCTAAATAAACTTCTTTCCTCTCTCAACAATCCGGTCTGTGGTATTTTGTTACAGCCCCAGGAAATGGACTTGGCAGAGAGGCCCCTTGGCAGACGCGGGGCCAGCTGCTGAACATCACCGGACACAGTTCCCACTACACCATCCCAGCCTCGGGAGCGCCCACCTCTGCTTGCCCACGCCCACAGGTGGGGTTCACGCAGGACCCTCCCTCTGCTGCCTACTCTGCAGTGGGCTGCCTGCCCCGACGTTCACATGGGACGTGGGAGCCAGCCTGCTGACGAGGCACACAGTGGAGGGAAGGGCAGGGTACAGATGGGCGACACAGAGAGGAAGTGACGTGGCCAAGAGGAAGGGCTTAGGATGGGCACAACGTGCAGGCMGGAGGCCCCGTTTGAGATCCACCTCAGCTTCTCTGCTGGTTTTGTGAACTCGGGCCAGTGAATTCGCCTCTCTGAGCCTCAGTTTCCCCATCTATACAATGGAGGCAGCAGAAGTCCCTAATTCTAAGGGCTGCAGGAGGACGTATTGAGAGCTGGGTGAGAAGCCACTGGGCAAGCTGAATAGTGAGGCTTGGCCCAACTGTCCCCTAGAGGTGGGCAGGGCTTCCTGCCCCTCCCGAGGGCTGTCCCCGCTCCGGCTGGACCAGGGCCCACTCCGTTTCATTTCACTTTCCAGCCCAAATATTTTTTCATCTGTGGTCTGGGAGGAGGACGGAATTTTGATGTGAGACACACATTTTTTCACA